CAGGAATTTGACATCTGAGCAAAAAATAAGTGTGTTTAGCTCTCTTATTTTTCTTTCTTTGTGAGCCATGGCTAGGATGACTTTTGCGTTTTTTATAATTCCAAAGAAACACTGCATCCTCATTTAATTTTTCTTATTTCTGTGCAATAGCAAAACACCATCTTTTTCCACTCTTTCTGATATTTTTCTCAAGTAAAGTCTGCTAAGTCTTTTAATTTCACTAGCTTGATGCCTTCAACTAAATAATTTTAAAACAAACCTGTGTGTACACTAGTGTTTTGTCACTGAAATTGCCATCATTGCTGCAGAAGTATGGTACTCTGAGACACTGAGTCTTGGCTAACATACCTTCAGATATTTATTCACCATTCTAGTATTGATTCTTTCTTTCCCCCAAATTCTGCATAACAGCATGTGAAATATTTCTCTTCATTAAATGAAGTGAGCACATCACAAGAGAAATTAGAGTAAGTATAGCAAGAACTAAAAATTAGTATGTAGCAGAATAGTTGCACAAAACTAATATTTTAATTATAAAGCCATTGGGCTTAATTTGACATGGAGCATAACACTGTGACAATGCCTGTAACTTGTTGCAGTTTTGTCTTAATGGAAAAAGCAGGTATAACTTTCATTTAGAGCAGAGAGATGAGGGAAAGGGTGGGCATAGGATCAAATCATAATGACTTAATGATTTTCTTCAGTAAACTAATCAATCTCAGTAACCTTTTTAAAACCCATTTTCTAGAGTATCTGTTGCCAGCATCACCTTTCATCAAACGTACAGTAAGCATGGCTGCTGAGGTATTTTACCGGCTGCTTAAAAAAAAGCTAAAGATGACTGGAAGACCAGAAGGAATGAATTCTGGTCTTCATAGGTAAGAGAGACCAGAATGTACAGTGTTCACATAAGTCTATAGACTTATAAGTCTATAGTAAGACTTATGTGAACAGTGGCAAGAACCCCACCACATCTTCTGCTGTTCTAATCACATAAATCTGAAGTGTTTCCCTCTGTGGGCTCATTTTAGAGAAATCTATAAAGTGGGCTCCTGGCTCAATTTAACATTTAAATATGATGTGTTTGACACAACATGATTTTTCAAGTGGGAAGCCTGTAAGATGTGTCTGAAGGTAGATATGAACACTTTACTGGAAGCTGATAAATTGACCTGTGTTCCCTAGTGCCTATTTGCATGCTCTTAACAGGCATGCTTAGCAGGTAGCTTCCACCTTTTTCATTAAAGAATAAGCTTTCTTGCATTTACCACATAATAAGGACACGCATGAAGTAGTTACTCTTGAATATCTGATGTGCACTAAATTCACATCCTCTCTTATTTTGCAGTAACATGGATATCTCTTTGTATTCCAAGGCCTAACTCCTTTTAATAACCTTTTAATTAACCTCGCTGTAGGCAGATCGGAAATGTTATTTTTGTTCAGAGGTTGGAAATGGTTATTTATGAAAAAATAATTGACATGCTGTAACTGTGCAAGCATAAAGGAAGCTGTATATGCTGACCCATCTAAGTAACTGCAAGTACCTGTTGCAATCGTTGACAGACAAGAAAGAAGTGATTGCAGCTCCCCCAGCATGTGTTCCTTGATGCTCTAAGAGTTTATTTTGTGGTTGTATCGACCATCTACATAAGGCTTAACTGGATTCACGTTGGACTGGAGTTCACCATCCCTCCTGTAGTGCTTGGACACACCCAGCTGCCTCTGCAGCACTCACTCTCTGCAATCAAATATTTCTGTGTCTCCCAATGCATCCAGTATTAGCCAGATTATCTCCCCATTAGTTTGGGTATTGGAGATTTAACAAAAGGTCTGTACTCTGTGTGTGTATAAGTACATACAAATGCACCTCACGTATAAATATACCTTACAGTTCCTTGATCAACATGTTATTCCTGTTTTAATGATGAAGCAGGTGAGGTGTTCTGATCAGTGTTTTTGAAGATTATAAACCAGTTTTCAACAGATCACTGTGTTTTTCCCATTCTTTATCATCTATAGGCTCTGTATATCTCTGGATTTACAGATGCATGATGAGCAAAGTATTGTTTCTAGAACAGTGGATGTTTTGCTACTATAAAAGGAGTAGGTTTTGATGTTCTACAGTAATTAAGGAATTTTTGAGTAATCAAATCTTCCTACCTTTGATTTTTTTTTTTTGGAAGGTTCAGGGAAACATTTTAGTTAGCGTTTTTCTCCCTAGAAGTTAGGAGAGTGTCAAAAATAGCGCGCAAGGTGAAAAGCTGAGATCAGCCATTTAAAATGTTAATGGTGAAGGAACCTCTTGACTTCACACCTTACTACTGGCGATATGGGAAGTGTCTGTCTGAACCTCAAGGCCTTGGGACTGCCATTTTGGGAGGCAAGGAGTTAGTTGGGGATGGATAGACTGGAGTTTGTATTCTTTCTGCTCTGTTACCCATTGCTATCTTCATGGATCTGACACTCTGTTTATCTGACAGTGCACTCAGTACTGCTTCGCCAGGGAAAATTGCACAAAACAAGCCCAGTGCATCAGCATTTTCATTGTGTATTAAGCTGAGCCTCCCTTCACATGGTCACATCCCCTTTTTAATCTGGGATTCCATGTCCCTTTCCCAGTCCAGCCTGTTTCTGTGGTGTCTATTGCTGGTCTCTCTGGGCTTGTGTTTCTGTGGTTTGAGTGTTTTTTGTGTGGCTGAGTGTTAAGACCTGCAGGACTTTTGGTAGTGGTGTTGTTTGGGGGTTAGGCAATACACTGATTTAGTGTTAGTAGTTTGTCAGACTGAGGTGATGGCTGCGTTCAAGTTGGATTTCCTGCCAGAGATGATGGTGGACCATTGCTCCTTGAATGCTAGCCCTGTGTAAGTATTTTGTCTTCGTGTTGAAGTTTATAACTAAAGGTTTAGTTGGAATTGCTGTCTCTGAAGCCTCTGCTCTCTGATGAACTCCCCTTGAGGGGGGAAAGAAGAGAGATAGGAGAGCCTACAGTTTGTTTCTTTGAAGAAATCCTAGTGGGTATGGACAATTGATGTTGGATTCTGGCTAGGGCGAAAATAATCTGATAATTTGGGGGATGAGGGCTAAGGAGGAATAAAGCTATTTGGCCGTACTGTTTATAGTATGCTACAGGTGCTGATATTATAAAATCAGTTATTTAAATCAGTTGTTGGGACAACAGTTTCTGTTCATCCCTGTTAATGACTCCAGACTAAACCTTTTAATTAGGAATGAAAGATTCCGAGAATACTGTTGAGGTCATGTTAAGAGTTGCCCAGTTGCTATGCTTTTGAAGCTACCCATGGCATAGAAGGCAGGACTGAAAATTATTGTTGGAAGAGGGTAAATAATTTCCAGTTGTTCTCAATTGGAATAAAAAAAACATGGAATGAAGAGAGGTAGTTTATCTCTTTGTAAAAGCTATTGTTTGCCTTGGCTATCTGGAGAAGTGCTGACCCTTTTGGAGTGGAAAAGTAGAGAGGAGTGAAAGGATTTATGATTATTCTCTTCCCTTCTAGTAAGAAGCTTTGTTGTTTGTGAGGTCTTTTCGTACAGTTATAAAATTGAGCTTTCCGTGGGATCAGTTTTTCCATAGGCTCTGAACAGCAGCATATTGAGGGGAAAAATTAACTAAACACTACCTGGTTTGGAATTATTATTTTTTATTATTGTTATTTTTAGGTTCTATTTGGGGGGAATATGATTGCAGATGGACAGTAGGAGGAACATTGTTTACTGTAATGTGCATTTAAGCTATTCAAAAAGGAAAAAAGCAGAGATGAAGAGAGCCGCCTACTATGGAAGAAGGCCCACCTGTATTCTTCAACAAAGAGTTTGAGGGCGGGGGGGGAGTCATTGTATAGTTACTACTCCATTCCCCGTGTTCTTTCTAGATTATGCAGGGGTAGGTCAGCAATTTTAACCTGCTAATCACTATAGCTACAATAGGCTGTCATTGCAGTCAGTGTTCCACAGAGATAGGTCCTTTGGTATACCAGGCTGTGAGTACCGGTAACAAAACATCACATTGCACTTGACAAACAATGAGGAGTCAATACAGAAAGTAGTTTATGACTGTCAACTAGCTGAGTGGAGTATAATACAGTTTTATTAACAGGCTGCAAACTGTTCATATGGCTAGATGTAATGCCTTGAAGCCTATTGAAGATTCCCATACTCAAAACTCCTGTGTTGTTGTAGTCTAAGAAGTGATATTTTTTCTTTGTTAACACCCTACCGTGACTCAACTTGATTCAGCCTGTGACTAGCTATGTTGTCCAATTCCAACCTGTTCATGTGCAGCCTAAGCCTGTTTTTTTGCCAAATATTGTTGAAAACTCCCTAGTTTCACAAAGAGCTATTGCTTTGTAAACCTTTGATGAAACTTCTCATCTGTTCAGTTGTACCTGTTTCTCTGTTTTAAGATGGGTCTTCACCCTGGGAAACAGTTCCAGATAGTCATATTTAAGAACAACAACAAAAAAATACTATCCTCTCACTTTTGGTGATTACTGCTGACTTCAGTAGTCTGTGGGTAGACTGTTTGGGTTCCTTCCTGTTCTGGTTTCTTCTTCTGTAAAATTTTACATGAGTGAACTAGTGATATTTTTCAGTCATCTCAACAGATTTATGTCCTGAATCCCAGATGTTGACTACATTGTAGGAACAAACGTTAAAAGGAGTTTTAAATAGCTGTGTAGAGTGTTTGGTTTTCAAGTACACAGCTTGCCAATGAATGTGAATGAAGTTTCTGAATATTCTCTGGTCTGCAGGACTGGGAAAGTGCAAGAGTCTCTCTTTATATGTATATTTTAATCACATACATTTGTATATGTGTAGAAATGCTTTTTTTTTTTCCAATCCCACTGTAAGCATGCTTCATGTTGCTGCAATAGCACTTATAGTCTGTGGAAATACGTAAACCAGAAATTACTTCTTATTTTTCATAGCTCAAAGAAAATGAATGGCACACTGGATCATCCAGACCAACCTGATTTAGATGCTATCAAGATGTTTGTGGGTCAGGTCCCACGGAGCTGGTGTGAGAAGGATCTAAGAGAACTTTTTGAACAGTATGGTGCTGTCTATGAAATCAATGTCTTGAGGGACAGGAGCCAAAACCCTCCTCAAAGCAAAGGTGAGAACTTCTGTACTTGTCATGTAAGACTTGGGTTCTCAGCTCCTTTCACATAGGTACAATCTTAGCTGTTTGCTTATTCAAACGTCCCTGTATGTTTGAGCTCTGTGTGACCAGATGGGTGTGCAAGCCCAGCCTTTGTAGTCTAAGTGTACATGTCTGATTGTACTTGGACTGTGATGCAGTCATTAGCTGAACTGAGGAAAATCATAGTTGTTTTTTTCTAGAGCTCAGAAGTGATGGGGATGCTTGAAGAATATGGATTATAATTGCAAAGCAGAACATCAAATTAATATTGTGTTGCTTCAGAGCATCATTGTGATGCTATGATATAAGCAAAGTGTTGCTGGAAGTGTCACAGTTTCAGATAAAATATAAAATTGAGGTCTTAGTCATTTGTGGACATCAAATCTTAACTAAATGCTGTACCTGGATTTGCGGTTCAGTTATATGCAATATCTATTTCCCGTGAAACTGGATAAGTTTGTGGTACTAGCAAATAATTGTGGCATTTCATAATGGAAGTAGCCAACAATTATTTGGCAGGTGTATCTAAATGTTTGTTTTGATGGTGTATTGGTGATGTTGGGTCAGTTCTGAATACATCCTATTTTATTACACTTGGAAATCTTTTTTTTTAAACAGTCACAATCAGTAGGACCTACTTATTTCAATGTCTAAACTCTTCTACTTGTCATGTTTTGCATTGGAAGCATAGAAGTGGGACTTGCAATTTTTGTACAGCGTGTCAGGATTCATGGTGTTCTTTCCTGGCTAGCATTTTGTTTCAATTGCAGGGTGCTGTTTTGTTACATTTTATACCCGTAAAGCTGCACTAGAAGCACAGAATGCTCTTCACAACATGAAGATCCTCCCAGGGGTAAGAGAAGAGCCATGCTTTCTTCGCAACTCTGTCGTGTTTTTCTGAACTCTGGTACCACTGATGTACAAACATACATTACCTTGCCCTCAAATAATGTTTTAAAAGAACTATTCAAAAGAGCAATGACATGAGATTTGTATGGTAACATATCTTAAGGGGATTTTGGAACATTTGGGAGAATAATATGGTAGTGAAGTGGGTGGGCATGGCTCTTAAAACACTCTGTGTGGAGGAATGATGACATATCGTTAGCAAAGTTTTTCTTTCTTCTAAACAGTTATGTATTGTTGCATGTGTACCTCTGTAGAGGCAGTTTAGTCTACCATTTCTTTCTTCCACAATTCTTATGAGATCTATTTCATATAGTATAAAGTAAATGCATCTATGATTAAATAATCTTTTTACGTTTCAGATGCACCATCCTATCCAGATGAAACCAGCTGACAGTGAAAAGAGTAATGGTAAGCTTTACTAGAGTCTGAGTTTGGTGGCATCATTTCTGCTAATAGGGAAGCTTGAGGATTTTCCTTTTGTCGAACAGCTTCTGATGAAGTCGTCTTGAATTGGAGACCTGATTTTAAAAAAAAAAAAAAAGAGAAGAAAGAAAAAATTGTGTTTTCAATATAGTAGGTAGCATAAGTGATGTCTCTAAAATTCCATGACTCGGTATCTCCCACTGCTGCAGCTTGTGGTAGAACCATGTTGTCAGTTAGGGAAACATCCAGTGAGTTCTTCTTTGTACTAAAGTGGTTTAAATCTTTGTTGGGGACATGGACAGTGGGATCGAGTGCACCCTCAGCAAGTTTGCAGATGACACCAAGCTGAGTGCTGTGGTTGATACCCTCGAGGGAAGGGATGCCATCCGAAGGGGCCTTGACAGGCTTGAGAGGTGGGCCCATGCAAACCTCATGATGTTCAACAAGGCCAAGCACAAGGTCCAGCACGTGGGTCAGGGCAATCCTGAACATGGATACGGACTGTGTGATAAAGGGATTGAGAGCAGCCCTTCCGAGAAGGACTTTGGGGTATTGGTGGATGAAAAACTGAATATAAGCTGGCAATGTGTGCTTGCAGCGCAGAAAGCCAGTTGTATCCTGGGGTGCATCAGAAGAAGGGCTTAGCAGATCAAGGGAGGTGATTCTCCCACTCCGCTTTCATACTCACCTGGAGTACTGTGTTCAGCTCAGGGACCCCCAGCATAAGAAAGAAATGGACCTGCTTGAGTGGGTCAAGAAGAGGGCCGTGAAGATGATCAGGGCTGGAGCACCTCACCTACAAGGACAGGCTGAGAGAGTTGAAGTTGTTTAGCCTGGGAAGACAAGGCTCTGGGAAGACGTTATTGCGGACTTCCAGTACTTAAAGGGGGCTTACAGGAAAGATGGGGAGGGACTCTTTATCAGGGAGTGTAGTAATAGGATGAGGGGTAACGGTTTTAAGCTGAAAGAGGGTAGATCTAGATTAGATATTAGATAGAGATTCTTTGCTGGAACAGATTGCCCAGGGAGGTTGTGGATGCCCCCTCACTGGGAGCGTTCAAGGCCAGGTTGGATGTGGCTTTGAGCAACCTGGTCTAGTGGAAGGTATCCCTGCCTATGGCAGGGCCTTGGAATTAGATGATCGTTAAGGTCCTTTCCAATCCAAGCTGTTCTATGATTCTATGAAACCTAGAAACGTTTTTTCAAGTGCTTGACCAATTTGAAGAAAGGCCTGTTCCAGCTACAGCGGGACTCAAAACTTCTCCCTGTGCAAGGGAGATTGAGAATTCTACAGGTCAGTAGAGGAAAAAATGTGACTATTTCTGCACATTGGCCATTTCAGATGGATTAAGACACCTAGCATCTACCACTGGGTAAATGATCATTTATCCATGTATTTCCGTGATGAGTTTATATATGTATATAAGTACGTGCTCAAATGTGTGCGTGTCTATATATTGCTGCAAGATAAGCAAAGAAAACTTTTAGCATTTTATAGTTTCAGCCTTTATAGGCTTGGCTGGATTTTATTTTCTTCATTTGCCATATTTACTATAAAATTAGTGTTGCCTTGTGGAGAAGGTAATCTTGGTTTCAGAAAGCTTATATCTTAAGATAATTGAAAACGGAAGATGGGATAACGTACAGTAGGAGTAATTCCACCTGCAAATTCCTCCATGTGTATACAGAATATGTTTCTGTGTAAATATATCTGGAAAGAAGTAATTCTTTTGAAGTATCTTTGGGAGGAGAACAGAATAGGTTCTCTAAAAATTATCTTGCATTATACACACACAGACACACACAAATATCCTGGGAAAACAATGGAAAGAGGAAAAAAGTATTTAATGAAATTTTAGGGTGACAGTTCTGAGGCTATTATATAATTATATGAGTTTTAATGAAAGGTGTAGGTGAAAATATATAAGAAAGCATCAGTTAAAGTATTTTAACTTGCCATTAATAAAACAGATTTTGAATCTGTTGAACTAAAATGGACTGAAAAAAGTATTTGAAAGAGCTTTCTGCTCTAAGAGCTTAAAAGTGAACTGGATACAACATTAAGATTTAATAGTCAGTTAGTCATGTCAGCTGGAATAGTTTGGAATTTTCCTTTTCAACACCATAGAAGACTCAGCAAATAAGCTGATTTCCCCTAACCATGGCACTAAACAGGAGAAGATTTTTCTCTCGTGAAACTTCAAATTGTGCCACAGCCTTCTTCGTATTATATTTTATATCGTGCTGAAGGTTGTCTTTCCAAACTGTTTTTTATTTCCAAATGGTATTCTACATACTTGCTTTTAAAGGATGAAGCAAATTATTTCAAAGGTGATTAGCATCCTTAAGTAAGTAAAATGAGGTATAAAGTTCTGCTCTGGATTCGAATTTACCCACTCCCTTAAGTGACTTTAAACTAACATTAGTAACCGCTAACTGAAAAGTTAAGATAAATGTCTTTCTGGACCATTTCTTTTAAAATAGCCTGCACACTGAAAGGTATTCTTCAGCTCTACTGTATGTAGTACCATCACCATTTAGAGGCAAGGTACAGTAGCATGCAGTCCGTTGTTCTGATTTGAGGTGTTATTTTCACACTTTTGGTACAGATCAGAATGGATGAATCTGAGACAGAACTAAAACTGTTCTGTTTTAGCAACTGCTGTTGCTTCCACTGTTGAGACTGGAGCATGAGGAAAGAGATCTAAATTTAAGTGATTGGCATGATAAAGAAGCTAGAAAGAAACTTTCTGCAGCTCACTTACTTATTTAGCTACAGTTAGGTATGTCGATAGTCTAAAGATAGAAGAAACAGAGGAAAGAGGATGAAAATAGTCCAGTAAAATACATACAAGTCTTCTCTCTCTCACTAGGAACTGAATGTAGGAGATACGGGGAAGTGCTGAATCTGATATATTTTTTCCTTTCCTTACATTCTTGCAGTTCACAGGCTTGCAAGGGAGAAACAGTCAGCAAAATGTAAACATAAAACAGGCATCCTTCAGGCTCATTGAGGTATCTTGTATGCATCCTCTTAAATTGAAGAGATTCTGTTATTGGGAATCTGGTTTTGACAAGCCCCTACCCTAAATACAAGGGAAATAATTGCAGATGATGGGGGAGACTTGACAAAATAAGATCTAATAAGCACATATTTGCTAGTAAAACTCTTATCCTTTGATTTCTTAGCAGTAGAAGATAGGAAGTTGTTTATTGGAATGATATCCAAGAAGTGCAATGAAAATGATATCCGAGTGATGTTCTCCCCCTTTGGGCAGATTGAAGAATGCAGGATATTACGGGGCCCAGATGGCCTGAGCCGAGGTAAGCAGGAAGCTTTTCCGACAGTTCACGGTTCTCCACTGGATCCTGCCATTCGCAACGCACGGTGGCATTTCAGCTCTTTCTGTGATCCCTCACCACCATGCACCAGCCCATAGGCATTGTCGTTTCTTTCTTCATCCAGTTATTGTGGAAGTAGTGAATGACTTAGTTCCCTTTTGTTCTTTCCCCAGGTTGTGCGTTTGTGACTTTTACAACAAGAGCCATGGCACAAACAGCAATCAAAGCAATGCATCAAGCACAAACTATGGAGGTAAAACAAGTTAGTGGGTGTCAAGACAAGATGTAGTTTGTCAGGCAGTCACTATGGAGTTTGGAGGACTAGAGAGCAGAGAAGGTTAAGTGCAGTGTGTGTTTCTTCACAAATACTACTCCTGGACCTTTGTGTTTCTTCTGCTCCTATTTTTAGAGCTCAAGATAAAAACTTCATGTGCAGAGAAAATACCAAAATACAAAGCAGAATCAAAAGCAAATGAGATTTTGAACCTTTAATGAAATGTGCTGTTTGAATATATGTATATGTATGCATTTTGGGGGAGCGGAATGCTTCCAATGACTGGGTCTTAATGCAGTATTTTTATGACTGCTGGGGATAGCAAGTATGTAATTGTTTGAATTGCTGTTTGCAGGGTTGCTCTTCTCCCATTGTGGTAAAATTTGCAGACACGCAGAAGGACAAAGAGCAGAAACGAATTGCTCAGCAACTCCAGCAACAAATGCAACAGATCAGTGCTGCCTCAGTATGGGGAAACCTGGCTGGTCTCAACACACTTGGACCCCAATACTTAGCAGTGAGTTTCTGATTTGGGTTCTTTTTATCTCTTCAGAGATTACAGTGTCTGACTGTCTTGTAGTGTTTAATGTATTTATTTTTAGAGGGCTCCTGATAGATAGGAGCAGGGTTCTTAATCCCCATTTTGTGGATGAGGAGGCTGAAATTAAGTTATTTAAGTGATGATTTCAACCCCAGTTACTGTAACGCTGACTACTGAAACTTATTTTTTTTCCTGTGGAATAACTTTGTGCTGGGAAGATTTTCTTCATATGTTATGGCCTCAGTGTTTACCCATATAAATGCCCTTTTCATGTCTGCCTAGTGACATAGTTCTTGTATTCCTCTTCCATTTTTCCCTTTTCAGCCTTTATTTCTCTCATCCCTTTCCAGTGAAACCTAGAACAGTACTTGGTGGTGTCCAAATAGAAAAGGTGATCAGGTTGGAAGTGCGAAGCAGCTGACAGTGCACAGTTAAAAAAAAAAAAAAAGACCACCACCACCAAACAAGCGAAAAAGCCCACAGAAAATAGAGAGAAACTACTTTAACTACTTTCTTTAGCAAAAATGATACAACAGAAGGCAGTCTGATGTTTGTCACTGATTTTAGTTGATTTTGCTGGGTTCCTAAAGGGTGAACTTGTCAAACTGATGTGCACTGGCTCATGTGGGTTGCCAGAGTAACTGAGAACTGTATTCATGCAATATAAGGTCTGGGGAACAGAAAAAGAAAATTTCATCTCATTCTTGGTGTGGTGTACTATTGAAGTGGGGGTGTTCTCTCTTTTACTACTGCTTTAGGTTTGGTAGATGAGATTATTTTTTTTTTATAACAACACCTAGTTAATGGAGAAGAGAATAGGAAATCCTTCTAAATAGCTTCTGAGCTGAGGCTTGAAATTTCTTCCACGGCTGCTGTGTTTAAGGAAAGTGGAGGGGGTTCCCTGTCACGGTGGCTCTTTGGTTTTGGTATGGCATTTGCCATTTTTTCTGTGCTGACAGTGTCAGCTGTAAAGTCTGGCTTGAGGTAGCGTATCCTTAGGGGTGGCAGTCCTGCCTGAGGTACTCTGAGAAGGAGTTCTCTCTCACTACTGAGTCTACTGTTTTTGTCTTGGTGTATTAGCTATAAACTTCCCTCAACATTGATTATGTTGAGTGAGGAAAGCATTGTGCTGTTGCTTTGGCTGCAATGTGATGCATGGGCAACGTGGATTTTCATGGTGGTGCTCTGGCTGTACTGTGTAAGGGGAATTCTCTTTATGCTTTGCTAGGATGTGGTGCATGGGCAGTGGGAATTCCTTTTGTGACGGCGCTCTGGCTGTGGTGTGATGCACTTTCTCCCAGAAGCGGAGCCAGCCCTCACTCTCACTCTTGTTTTGTTTTTTGGTGTAATGTCTAGCTTTATTTGCAGCTCCTTCAGCAGACAGCAGCTGCGTCATCTGGGAACCTGAACACATTGAGCAGCCTCCACCCAATGGGAGGTGAGTTTTTTCCACCAGAAGACAAATTCAGTGCCAAAGAAAAGAGCAGAAGGGTAGAGAAAGTAGCCAAAAGGCTGTAGACATATTAACCTCATTTGAAATAAGTAGTCCTGAGTTTACCCTCTCCTTTGGAATGACACGAATCCTCTGCTACAAGTGTGGATGTTCCTTCTTAATCTTAGTTAACCATTGTCCCCGAGGTAAGTTGTGATATGCTGGTAATCTCCCTACCTCTGGCGTTTAAGTTATCTTCCCTTATGGGTACAAAAAGATGGCTCCGTATATTTGTTTTCGTCCAAACAGGTGAAGCATTGTGTTTTGAAGTAAGCACTAATGTATGTGTTTCAGTGACAATGGATTCTTAAGTTTCCCATTTAAAATTCTTTGTTCTTAAATACATGAAGGCTGAAAATGCAATGTTGGTAGGAATGTGAACTAGTCCTTCATTCAGGTTCTTTAATTCCTTAATTTGAATTACCAGTGATTACGCCATTGCTGTTAGGGAAATATCACCTTAAATAGGTACGAGCCAAATTGCTGTGGACTGCTAGTCAGAATATTCACTAAGTATAGCAGTATTGCAGCTGCAAATTGATTGTCCCTTCTGTCTTCACAGGGCAGGGAATAATAAAACATATGTTAGTAACTCCAGGAACTGCATTCTGTAACTCATTCTGCTGGCAGAAAAATTATAGTTTTGGTTTTAATACTGAGCTGCTTAAGCTTTTAAAATTGCCTCCTGGAATTGTATGGTAGTTCACAATATTACATGCCCTGTCTGTGCAGAGATTGATCTAAAAGTGTTAAGAAAGTAAAGTGTCTTTGTACATCTGACTTGTGTTGGTACACTCATCAGTAACAGTTAAAACCATAACGCTTTGCAAAGGTTTGTGATTGTAAGAACTTTGATTTATATTTGAGGTTGATTCTAAGCTTAGCTTCTTATGTTTACTTTTTTCATGTTGGACCTCTTCAGAGGTCTTAAAAATCAGTTTCACTAATATCCTGTGTGGTGGTGACCTAGAACAAATTTTGTTATGCACATGATACTGTGTCCCCCGTCCCCCGCTTTGTGTCTGTTTAAAAGCAAGTGGTAATAAAGGAGAAAAACAGTACAGCAGCTTATGGTAATTGTTACTACATTAAGGACTGGGGAAGCTGCTAATTAGCTAAGGTTGCCTGTGAAGTTTCCAAGGTAATTCTGTTTTCACTGTTTAAAAAAATCACCTTAAAAATTGAGAACTCAGACATATAAACAGCATGTTCTATGGTGCTTTGAAAGAATTATTCCAAGTCTGTGATTCTTCACAGAAAGAGTTCTAGTTTCAAAGTCCTGTTAATATCTCAGCTGATCTGCTTACTTGAAATACATGGATAGAAATATTAAGTAGGTAATTAGATCCCAAACTGTATCAGACTTTGTAGACAAAATTTAATCTTAGCCCTGTTTGAAAGCAGATGGGAAAACAATGTGATGACAAGAGGACAGGTGCAGTGCGCACGTGCCAGACTGCTTCAGAAAGGAAGCAAGCTGCTCTGTTCTTCGCTAGCTCTAACACTTGCACTTTTAACCCTCTGTAGCACAATAAAAACAAAAAATAGAACTTTTTGGTTTTAACTTCATGCTTTTATGTTACAGTGGCACCTTGAGAATCTAAATAAAGGCAGAATCCTCTTGTTTCAGGCACTATATGTGGTTAGAGAAACAGACCCTGTCACAAAGAGAAAACAATTGAAAAATATTAAAAAAAACCCAAAACAGCACAAATGACCTGTGCTAAAGGTAGTAGAAGTTTTTTTAGAAAATAAATAGTTTATACTGCGTTGTCACTTACATTCTTATGTTGTCTGTTTATATACTTAGATTACAAAACTGAGATTTTAATTGAGATGTCTGCTTTGTCACCACATACTTACTAAGCATCCAAAAGATGAGGTGCAACATCTGCCTAGGACGTCTTGATGTTGTTATATGAATAGTGATTAATTTAGTTTTGGTTTTAATTTTGTAGGGAAGAATTACTAGGGATTGCCTAAAGTCGGATGAAGAGGAGGAATTGTTAGAATAAGCAAAGGTAGAGACAAAAAAGGGAAATAAGGGAAAAGGGAAGAGAGGCAGAATTGGAAGAATGGAACTAGCCTACCAAAGGATGGCTAAAATATAGAATTAAAAAGATTGATATCACTTATAATCCCATGGCAGGAAAAGAGGGCAAACTACAGTGTCAGTGCTGACTGAATGGTTTCATTGAAAAATTGATGAGTGGATTGACCAGTAAAAGTTCATCGACACAGGGATACCTTCCTCTCCCTGCAGTAATCCTGGAAGCTTACCGTGCCTGATGTTTCCCATTTTCCTCACCACTTTTGTTTGACCAGCTGACTAGCCTACCTGTATATTGGCTGATCTTGTGGTCAGGAGTTGCTACTTACCATTTTCTCACAATTGACTGTTGCTTCTTGGCTGCCAAGAGGACCAAACAAAACATGCTGATACTCAGCTGATGGTGGGTTAAAGGTGTGACTTTGTGGTAACTGTGGTTTATAGGCCTTCTTGAAAGAGTTCTGCAGTTATTGCTGTTCCCCTACAAAGGCAGTGGAGGGACACAAGAGAAGAGGAGGTTATTGGCCTGGTGTCTAGACAAGTTCCGTAGCTTGCAGATGAGCTGTCAGACCCTGGCTTAACTCTCAGTTAAAGCTGCTGTGCTTTTGTGACTGGAGAGAACTCTGCTTGACAGTTTCTGTACTCTGAGATCTACATCTGGGATCATGACTACCTGATCTTTTACAAAACTCACCTATCTGGGCAAAGAAAACCTTTAGAAATAACAAGGAATCACAAAGTAGGAAAAGATCAGTAATTAGTATTAAGCCTGTTGTTTTTAAGCTGCTTCCCATTACTCCCTTGTGATGTGCTGAGGTTGCTGGATCTGTTAAGCTTGGATGATGGTGACTATTATAGAAGAAACGCTATGCATTCTTCAATGTGTTGCAGGACTGAATGCGATGCAATTACAGAACCTGGCTGCATTAGCAGCTGCGGCCAGTGCAGCTCAGAATACACCGAGTGGTACCGCTGCACTCACTTCCTCCAGCAGTCCTCTGAGTGTGCTCACCAGCTCAGGTAAGACACTGCCTGTGCTGTAGTGGGTTATGACATGGGTTGCCCTAAGAGTCATTTCAGGATAATGACACCTGTTTTGTCTACCCCTTTTTCTCACTTTCATGTTGATTCTTTAACAGATAAGCTGTTTTACTAGTAGATTCACTCACGTTTGTTTAGGCTAGGTATCTTTGCCACCAGCAAAGACTTTTTACCTGCTGTGTTCCTTCTTCCAATGGTCAGATTAATTTAGAGCAAAACAAATGTTTGAGGTCATTGTGAAGCAGAAAGGTAGGTGACCTCTTTCCAGTCACATTATTAAAATCTCATCACATATCTGATTTATCCGTGATTTTAGGCAGGTACTGTGGCAGATGTACCCTGTTCCTCTGGACTTGGAGACAGAAGATGCCTTAAGCATCAGTAATGCATTCTATGTGCTTGAACAGTACAGTTTATATTACTCTGGCATTAATGAAGACAAGGATACTGTAACTACCTCATAGAAGTAGAATAAATAGACCCTTAACATATTTATTGGAAAGCGTTTGTCTAGAACTGAATGTATAGGTTGCACATAAGTCAGTATCTTACTTTTTGGGGCGGGGGGCGGGGAGGGTTTTTTTGGTTGTGTTTTTGGTTTTACTTTAAGTTATTTACATTATGCAGAGAGGCTCGAATGTCCAAGTAGTGTTCTTTTGCTGCCTTATTGTTAAATGTGATCAGTAAATGCAACAAACAAGAAAACAAAAAATAAATTAAATTATGCTTACATCAGACATGTTCGTTTTTTTACCACAAATGAGGTTATTTATTATCTTATTTTCAGTTATTTCTAAAGCCTAATATGGGGAGACCCTGTATTTTCAGGTTGTCAGGTTTCCAGCATCTACAGCGTGGTATGTGGGTTTGGGTTTGGTTGGGTTTTTTTTGTTTGTTTTGTTTTTTTTCGTTTCTCACAAAAAGCCAAATTGCTTACCTAGTTTTGAAATCCAGCCTACAGAGCTGACATCTGTCTGCACCTGTGATTGTGAGCAACCGAGGGGGGTGAGAGGGGGGGTAAATTTACACCGGTAGCTTTTTGTATTGCATGGGAGGACCAAGGAGACAGACTAAGAGATTATAAAGAGATTACAAGGAAAAGCTGTAATGTTACATGATCAGGAGTTAAACTATGAGTGCTTTGTAGTTTTCTACTTAGAGAAATCTCCAAGAAAGAATTCAGTTCAAAGAGTTGTGTTACTGGACAGTTTGGGTTTTTTTAATATAAAAACTTTGTGGTCTGCAATCCTTAAAGATTTAAATTTTAAAATTTATCTTGACTCCCAGCTATGGTATCATATTCTATAATTAAAAAACAAAAAACAAAAAAAACCCCAATGGAGTTGAGGCTGTAGAAGAGCTGCATATATAACCTGTTCATGCCTCTTCATCATAGAGAAAACATTGAAGGTGAATACATCTGAGAATTTCTCCTGTATTTCCTCATGCAGTAGCAGACCTGGAATTGTCAGCTTACAGTTTCCTGCGACTGGCACTTAGAACTGATTTCCTTGCTGGCTTTCTCGTCTACTGACTGGAGCAAGTTTGTTCTCTGATTTGTTGAGGTGGGGAAAGGAACTGGCAGGTTGTGAAGTTCAAATGCCAGACGTGCTAGAAAAGGCAGAGGCAGCCTCTTCTGAGAAGTGTACAGTAAAAGGACAAGGGCAATGGACACAAGTTGCAACAGAGAAAATTATGAGCAAAAGAAAAATAAAATAAATTATGAGAGTGATTATGCTCAGGAACCAGGTGCCGAAGGGGCTGTGGAAACTCCGTCATTTCAGAGATTCAGAATGCAATTGGAAAATACCCTGAACAGGCCGACCTAATTCAGAGGTTAGACCAGCTCTGAGGAGACCAGTAGACGAGATGATCCACAGAGGTCAACTGTGTTATGCTTGATTTCCCCTCTGAATTTTGGCTGTTCCACAGCACTCTGCAGGTTCCTTTTCCCTTGATGAGAGACATATCTCAGCATGCTGTTCCACTTTTGGTCATGCTGGTGGAGGGGCTAGGGGGTGGTGAGCAGCCCGTTGTTAAGTACCTTCTGTGCTGAATCCAAACAGCTTTCTAATTGCCAGTCATATCAATAAAAGATTGTGTCAACAATCAAGTAATCACAATCGGTCATTTGAATTAATATTCCATACAGATGTATAAGTCAGTTCACTCTTCATAGGCTTATAATATGAAGCAGTCACTATTGTATTGCTCTTTAAACTTAATTTCAAGTATAATTTTAAAGAGTAGAGATTAGCTTTGTTCAAAAGAAATAAAAAGTTCTGGAGGATATGTGGTCTATATGTAGTCACTGACATCAAACTCTGAAACCGTTTCAGTGCTTTTCATTGGAGGTATTAATATGCTTCACCTTTTAACACTGGACTTAAATTGGGGGAAGGGGAAGCCTCAGTGTGTACAGACAGCATTCAGTCTCATGATACTTCATGTAATTATACAGCGTTTTAACTCTTTAGTCTGAACTAGCAATTATGTCTTATAAAAGCAAACTTGAAATTCTCTTTTGGTTAGTATTTATTTATACGTGCATTCACACTGTATGTATTCACATAGAAGGCTGTTGGACTCCATGCATTCAGAGCATCCCTCCTGAACCGTACCTAGACATTGAAAAAACTCAGTATAGAGCTGTTCCATACCATGTGTTAGTAAACGCCTTCCTTGTCTGTGGGACGTACGGCAATATCTACTGTGATAACCTCTTAAACCTAACTGCAGATGAGATGACTACTGGCTTGACTTCTCTCCATCTGTCATCCAAATGTTGACCTGATGCTTATTTGGACATCTCTTCCAGATTGTCCTCAAACTGCATAATTGGTGGAAAAATCCAGACAATCCTTATGCATAGCTACCTTTTTGATTTTCTTTCATCTGCACTGATATCTTTTGCGTTTGGGGAACTTGGAAGTCCAGACAGTGCAGAGTTTGTGGACTATGGATAGGTTACATGTCAGAATGATTGAAAATAGAGATGTTAAGTGTTGTTGTTGCTGTCTTCCTGCTCATTTCAGGTGATTTTGCTTAGGTATTTCCAAGCAGTATTGTGTATTTTGAAGTAGAATAGGATGTAGCAAAACCTTCAGCCTTGCAATAAAGCAGCTACTCTTTGGAACTGAACAGACTGCTGCTGCATCCACCTGTAGATAATCCGTGTTACAGGGACTGTGGCCTTAGATAAACTCGTTTAAACTGCTAGCGTGTGAAAGGGACATTCAAGAAAATGTCACAGAAGTATTTCAGGGTTGGGGTATCTTGTCTGCCATCTTTTCAAGTTGTACATCAATAAGAATTGTCTGCTCCAGAGCAAAATAGAATGGTTGCAAAAGCTGATGTATTTTCCATTTCTCCTCCTTTCAGAGGTGACTACCAAAGGTCCAGCAAAGACTAGATGACTTTGCTGGCCTTAGTGTGTCTCCAGCAAAATTGTTTTCAGGGACATCATAGTCTTTCTGGTTTTACTGGAACTAATTCTGGTACAGTTCGGTCAGATTCATTGCCTGAATTTTAGCGCTCTTTAGCTCATTGCTTGGATGCTAGATGACTGAATTAGAACAGACTTACTGTTCCCTCAGTTCACCTACCTCCACAAGTAGGTAGTTGATGTCCTTGCCCAACTTTCTTTATCTTTCCTAGCTATTCTTTACTACATACTCAAATTTTCTGAAAACTTCTTCAAGTATTTTCAGCTAGTTATCTTAGAATTAGCCTTTTGTACTAGATATAACTCACTCGATAGATCTAAGAAAACATAACTTCAGTAGCCAGCAAAAAAAATCCAACCCAACAACTCACCAAAAACTGCACAGAAACAATGTTAAGGATTAGGGATGGAGTAAAGAACATGTATAAAACTATACTGGTTTTCCATCCCCATTACTGTGTTCTGTTTTCTGGTCTAGAAAGGATGACTAGAACTGTGGAACTCCTTCCCTATTAGGAGCAACGCGGGAGCCTGAAAAATAGAAGACTGACATGGGAGGAGGATATGATTGAAGCCTACAAATATATTACTCTTGTGATGAAGACAAAAAAGGGAAAGACCAGTCGTTAGATATTTCTAGACAAGAGTTGCAGGATATCAGGTGAAGTTGTCAGCTGACAGTTCAAAAATAAAAAGTGATTTCTCTGCATAGTGCGTGATTATATTGCAGAACTCATGCCTTAGAACATAGTATAGTCAAACAATTCAGTGTTCAAAATGCACTGAAATTAATGAATGAAATACATAAATTTAATACAAAGACATTGTCCCTGGCTGAAAAACTCCTAGATTTGCAAATTGCTGCCTTGGTGATAGACTATACCTAGGAAGTACTACTTTGTAATTGCCCTGTATTTCTGCTCTACTGTTATTTATCTGCCTTTAGTCATCACCAGAAATGGGGTGCTGACTCACTACAGCAATTCCTATATATATGTGATAAAGACAATGAACTAAACAGTGTTAAATTTTCTTGGCGCTTTCAGCACTAAAGCATTTCTTGTTTTGCTTAAAGAGTTTTCTGATAAAGTCAGCTAAACTAAAATATCTGTGTGTTCAGCTTTTTGTAATGGTTTAAATGAATTTATTTAAAATCACAAGCTTTTCTAAGTAGGGAGGATATCTATTCTCTCTTACTTTGCTCTCTAGCCTTGGCTTCATTCTTTTTTTCCCATACCACTACTATTTTATTGTGGCTGGTTTTTTTTAAATGGTGTTCACATCTGTCAAATGTAGGGTCTCTCTGAATTATGTAGATTAGCAATGAAGTGTTGCAGAAATAAGTGATATTCTGAAATTGAGACAGCTGTATCACTTCTGAATGCAGGCTTTTATTCAGCCAGCTGTGCTATTTTTTTCTCCCAACTGGAGGGTTATACTGTAACTTATTATCTGTATTTTTCCAACATTTAATATGGTACTGATAGTAAGACAGGAAGTGTCTCCTTTTCTTCAGTGTAAGCATCTTAAAACATAGTTTCAGACATTGTCTTTCAATTTCTGACTTTTTAAGAGAATTTGTCTAGATCTTTTCCTAGGGGAGATTTGTCATTTCCTGTGTCAGTACAAAAACTAAACAGTGATATGAAGTGCAGCTCCCTGGGTTCTTATGCAGCATGCGTTAGGTACAACTGCTTTCGTTAGGTACAGCTTTTGCTGGGGCTTGTTAGGCAAGTTTGCTGTATTCCATTTAAATAGTTACCATATACCACTCCAGCAGAGACTTTGTGCTACATACGTGAAGTGGTGAATATCTAGTGTGTGTGAATCTGCTTGAAAGATGCTAACAATTCTAAAAGTTTTAATGGATGTACACAACATAACTGATAATCACAAAAACACAAAGGAAACTGAAAATGCCTGAATTTCAGTTCTTCTGTTACCCACTTGGTCAGACTGATAAATTCCTCTTGAAAGCAGACTACAAGATGCCTCTACAGCACCAGTCTTCGGTATCTTTTAATTTGTAGAAGCCATAAATATTTTCCAATGTATCTTGTGTAATATGCATAGCTTCTTATTTATCATCTTCAGATTTCTAAGTAGTCTACAAGCCTGTTAGGAAAACCACTGCTCTATAATCATAAAAACAGTATTCTTTTCTTATTTTATCATGTCCATAATCTTTGTAGGTTACCTTAATTTGAACTTCTGTTTCTTTTGATATACCAGCTTGGCAAACTTTTTTCTCGTGGTTTTGATGTCTATTTCTGTAGAACTAACTCTACCTGTTGTAGAATTTGGCAGGCCGTGTAAGATGTTAATCTGCTAGGTACTGTATCTGTAGACTTCTCTTAATGACTAAACATGGCTGAAGATGTTAGTGGCACAGTCAACAGAGGACAGACTGTGTATTTTGGATGTAAATTCCAAGACTTTTCTTGGCCCTAGCCCCAGCTGCTGCAGCAGGACTTTTGGTGGAAAGTCAGATGTGTCAGAATAATCTGGGCATCTGCTGTACCTGTTCTGATAGTATGGGAAAACTGTATGTTCGGTTTGACTGGAGCTTGCTTTAATGTCCCGAGTATCTGTGTTTCGGGTCTCTCTCACCTTGTGTGATGGTTCAAGGGTAGATGTTAGTATGTAGCAAGTGATTCGTGCTCAAAAAAAGCAGGAAATGGGCACTGCTGCTGGTCACCTTGTGTTGAGGTACAGAGTTTAGCTAACGTTTGTATATTGCATGAATCTTAGGTGCCTTACACTTAATGAAATTATTATTGCTACAAAGAGTAGACGTTATGATGAAGTAGTAGAAATTTTTCAAAAAAGTAGGAAGGGATTAGAAGATATAAGCAGTATGATCAATCAAGTTGTACGGGTTTGGGGTTTTTTTGTGTGTTTTTTTTTGTTAAAGTATACTGTGTTGCTTTGGTCTGTTCCTTACTAGCCTTTTCTACAGAAATGATGAAGATGTTGAATTATGAGGACAAAAGATATTGCTTGAAGTTTAATTATCTTATTTTAATAGCAGGTTCCTCACCTAGCTCCAGTAGCAGCTCCTCTGTTAATCCAATGGCTTCTCTTGGCGCATTGCAGACACTGGCAGGGGCTACAGCAGGCCTCAATGTTAGCTCTTTAGCAGGTAAGCTACGTGTTGTGGTGGGCTGGGGGAATGGCTGATTATCATTCCTCAGGCTGTGCTAGTTCTGTGGGTGTTTTTTTCATGCTCCCTGCTTCTTGTAATAGTGCAGAGTATTTGAAAGGTACTTGATCTGGCTCAGTGGAAGTACTCAGTCATCTTTATTTCCTCTTTCTTGTACAGGAATGGCAGCGTTAAATGGAGGACTTGGCAGTGGTGGTCTCTCAAATGGGACAGGTAGCACAATGGAAGCCCTCACGCAGGCTTATTCTGGGATCCAGCAATATGCTGCTGCTGCATTGCCCACGCTCTATAACCAGAGTCTTTTAACACAGCAGAGCATTGGTGCAGCGGGAAGTCAAAAAGAAGGTAGGAAGTTGTAGAAACAACTTGAAAGGGGTTTTCAAAAGGGAAAGCTCAGCCCTTGCACCTGCCTTATCTGCAGAGCTTTCATTTGGTGGCATTTTTTAGAATCCTAGAGTTACTGAAGATAAAGAAGGAAAACCTGTGAGGTCTCTCTGTTGAGGGCTGGCCAGTTTCTCCCAGGATTTGTCTAGTCTTAAATGCTTAGTAATCGTACTCCTCCATTTTTCTTGGAGGACAGGAGAGTATGAGTCTGCAGCCTGATACATCCCACTGTCAGAGAATCAATTGTGGTTTTGTTAATTTTGTTTTCTTGGTCCTTCACTTCTTCCCATAGATATATAATGCCAGTCTCTTCACTCTTCATATTCAGAATCAATGTAACATGCAGTGTAATGAAGAATGTAGGAGTAAGTTTTCAGCAGAATGTAGGATGATGTTTAGAAAAGAATCTGTTGGATTTCAAGTAATGCTATTACTTGTATTTCATATTGAGATTTACTTAGCTTCTTTGGGCTGCAAGCTTGGCATAGTCGCTTTTGTTTTAGTCAGCATCTGAGGCTCAAACTTATTGTTCAGCTTTCGTTACAGCAAAGATCTGTGAGCCACTTTTGGCACGATGTGGAAATTACAAGCCAAAACGGTGAGAAAGAGATAGAATTATTTGAATGATCAGTCCCAGCAAAGGATCTTGCTGATTTATTCTGGAGTCAAGTACTCCACAGAAGTGTGAACAGCAGTTTCATTGTTGTATCTAGAAAATTTGGTTTGAATGGCTCTTTTACCTTTTTTTGTGAAGCGGGCCTATGTTATCCATGCTCTTTCTGAATTCATGTTCCTACTTATTGTTTGAAGGTCCAGAGGGAGCCAATCTGTTTATCTACCATCTACCCCAGGAGTTTGGGGATCAGGATCTGCTGCAGATGTTCATGCCATTTGGAAACGTCATCTCTGCCAAGGTTTTCATTGACAAGCAGACCAATCTAAGCAAGTGTTTTGGTACGTTGGGTCTAATCATTACCTGTAGAAAGGTGGCTTCTTTCTAGTAATCACCTTTCCAGTATATTGTCTAGTCTAGCTTTTAAGTCAAGTAGTGACTCTTTCTCTATATTCCTAAAAAATAAATAAATCAATCTGAACTATTCCAGCAATTACGTGTATTTTCCTGATTTTTCATTATGACTTTTTGCTTTTCCTGATTTTGTACCATTATGCCTCATTATAGTGTTTTGGCCCTAGATAATTCACTATGATTCGTGTTTGCAGACTGTAATCATGGTATAGTTCCTCCTCTTCCTCCTTTCTGTCTGTTCACTAATTGTTTACGTTGCTGTATATACTACTTACTACATTACCATTATGAATGATTTCTATTAATATTTTTAATCTATAATTGTTATGTTTACCATATAGTACAGGAGCATTTGACTCTGTTCTATAAATGCTCTGAAGGCAATTTTTAAAGCTTCCTCCTAATTCTTGAAAACTTTGTAATAGTAAAACCATTTCAGCTGCTATTTATTACCTAAATTTGGTTGCATTTGCTCTGCTTATTGTGTGTTTAGATGAACGTCACATCAGGGTGGGAAGTGTATCCTAAAACTGTAAATCAACCTGTCATGCTACTGTTACCATCCAAATAGATTATTTTCAGTTAACTGCTAAAGTCTGTGATGCCAAAAGAGCAAAGAATGTATTCTTCCTTAGCTTGTGTAGTAGGAGGCTGTGCATGTGGACTGAAAGATTCATGGTTTTATTTTCCTCACATTGAAACCCCAATGCAAGTGGTTGTAGCATTTTTGTAGTGCTGTAAGCTCTTGCGACTCTTGATAGATGGAGATTTCTTGTGATGGGATAGGAGAGGTGGGCCTTTCTCTATTGTTTTCATAGTTTTGTTACCTACATAATATCCTGTATTTTTTAGTATTTGAGCCAAAAGATGTGGACAATGTGATGCTTTATATCAACACAAAAATATGCTGAGGATCAGGCTGTAACACCTGCATATGGAATGATCTCCCCAGGTAGTGATGCCAGCCATTGACTGGAGTTATTTAAAATGGGTTCCTTCAGAACCCTGGAGAAGTTTACTTTG